GCACAAAAATAATGAAGCTTAATCCCATAAAAGAGAAGAAAAAATGTTGAATTTTAAGAAATTCGGATTTTTGAATTTTTTCGAATTTTCGATAATTTTAGATTTTTTACCAAAGAGTCGAGACTATTAAATAAGTAAAGTATTTTCCAAAAGCACAGAAATAATGAAGCTTAATCCCATAAAAGAGAAGAAAAAATGTTGAATTCTAAGAAATTTGGATTTTTGAATTTTTTCGAATTTTTGATAATTTTAGATTTTTTACCAAAGAGTCGAGACAATTTAATAAGTAAAGTATTTTCCAAAAGCACAAAAATAATGAAGCTAAATCCCATAAAAGAGAAGAAAAAATGTTGAATTTTAAGAAAATCGGATTTTTGAATTTTTGATAATTTTCGATAATTTTAGATTTTTTACCAAAGAGTCGAGACAATTTAATAAGTAAAGTATTTTCCAAAAGCACAAAAATAATGAAGCTTAATCCCATAAAAGAGAAGAAAAAATGTTGAATTTTAAGAAAATCGGATTTTTGAATTTTTTCGAATTTTTGATAATTTTAGATTTTTTACCAAAGAGTTGAGACTATTAAATAAGTAAAGTATTTTCCAAAAGCACAAAAATAATGAAGCTAAATCCCATAAAAGAGAAGAAAAAATGTTGAATTTTAAGAAATTTGGATTTTTGAATTTTTTCGAATTTTTGATAATTTTAGATTTTTTACCAAAGAGTCGAGACTATTAAATAAGTAAAGTATTTTCCAAAAGCACAAAAATAATGAAGCTTAATCCTATAAAAGAGAAGAAAAAATGTTGAATTTTAAGAAAATCGGATTTTTGAATTTTTTCGAATTTTTGATAATTTTAGATTTTTTACCAAAGGGTCGAGACTATTAAATAAGTAAAGTATTTTCCAAAAGCACAAAAATAATGAAGCTAAATCCCATAAAAGAGAGGAAAAAATGTTGAATTTTAAGAAAAACGGATTTTTGAATTTTTTCGAATTTTTGATAATTTTAGATTTTTTACCAAAGAGTCGAGACTATTAAATAAGTAAAGTATTTTCCAAAAGCACAAAAATAATGAAGCTTAATCCCATAAAAGAGAAGAAAAAATGTTGAATTTTAAGAAAATCGGATTTTTGAATTTTTTCGAATTTTTGATAATTTTAGATTTTTTACCAAAGAGTCGAGACTATTAAATAAGTAAAGTATTTTCCAAAAGCACAAAAATAATGAAGCTTAATCCCATAAAAGAGAGGAAAAAATGTTGAATTTTAAGAAAAACGGATTTTTGAATTTTTTCGAATTTTTGATAATTTTAGATTTTTTACCAAAGAGTCGAGACTATTAAATAAGTAAAGTATTTTCCAAAAGCACAAAAATAATGAAGCTAAATCCCATAAAAGAGAAGAAAAAATGTTGAATTTTAAGAAAATCGGATTTTTGAATTTTTGATAATTTTCGATAATTTTAGATTTTTTACCAAAGAGTCGAGACAATTTAATAAGTAAAGTATTTTCAAAAACACAAAAATAATGAAGCTAAATCCCATAAAAGAGAAGAAAAAATGTTGAATTTTAAGAAAATCGGATTTTTGAATTTTTTCGAATTTTTGATAATTTTAGATTTTTTACCAAAGAGTCGAGACTATTTAATAAGTAAAGTATTTTCCACATTAAAAAGTTTGACATTAAAAAATAAAAAATGCCAATACTTAACCCACAAAGTTTAATTTTCAAAACAAACAAATGAATGCAGATAATTTGCTAACGGAAAGGAACTTACGATTATTATAATGTATTATTATTTTTTTTTATTTGATAATAATTTGTGTAAATTATTAAAAATAGAATAAATAAATCTTAAATAAAATAATAATAAATCTCCTTTTGAAAAAGAAAATTTACTTTATTATTATTATTTATTATATTTATTATTATTATTTTTATTAAATCATTATAAATACAATAATTATCATAATTATATTTTCGACAATTAAAATTATTATAATTAACTAATTTAATTATAATTAAATTAATTATCAAAAAAAAGATGATAATAATAATTATATTTTTAATGCATAGTTAAAATTATTATAGTTCATTAACTTATTACAATTGAATTTGCTAATTTGTTTTTTTTTTTGGTTCTTAAATTGGAATAAATTAGAAAATTTCAGATCAGGATTTAAGAGTTGAACCGTTGTTAAAATTGTACGCGTGACATGACATTTTGTGTAATCCAAGTAAAAGGGTTGATCCTGATTTAGTCAGACGTCACATATGGTAAACACACGAGGATTAAGGTATAAAAGATTTTTTTCTGTCAATTTAAAAATGTAACACAAAGAAAAGCAAAAAAATAAAATATATGTAGAATAAGTTTACAATTCCTTCTTTTTCTGGGACAATTAAAAAATAATCGATGTAAAAACAAAAAATTAATTTTGGTAAAATTAAATTAAATTTAACCAAAGAAAAAACGATTTTTCTTTTAAAAGTAAAGAAAATAAACAAAAAAAGGTAAAGAAACCAAAAATCAACCACAAGCAAACCAAAGGATAAGGATAAAATAAAAAAAAAATTTTAATAAAATAAAAGGAAAAAAATAAAAAACAAGAAAATAAAATAAAATAAAAAAATAAAATGAAACGAAAAAAAACCAAAAACAGACCAAAAATAACTAGAAACAAACAGTACACCAAAAATAAACCAAAAGGTCCAAAAAAATTGTTTAAAGAACCAAAAATAAACCAATAAAAAAATAGAAGCCAAAAAAAGGTTAAGGGACCAAAAGCAAATAAAAAAAGGAAAAGGAATAAAAAAATAAACCTAAAAAAGGTAAAGGAACCAAAAGAAAATTAAAAAAGGAAAGGAACCCAAAATAAACCAAAAGAAACTAAACAAAAAATCATAAATTATGAATTATAAAACATAAAAAAGTAAAGGTACTACCAGAAAAAATTTTTAAGAACTAAAAAATAAACCAATAAAAAAATGGAAACCAAAAGTAAATCAAAAAAGGTAAAGGAACCAATAATAAACCCTAAAAATCATAAAGGAACTAAAAAAACCAAAAAAATGTAAACCAAAGTAAACCAAAAAAAGTAAAAAATAAACCAAATTAATCTTTCTTTCACCGAATAAAAAAATGAAGAAAAGAATGCAAAAAAAGACAAGATTATAATAAAAATAGTAAAGGTACCAAAAACAAACCAATGAAAAGGAAAAGAAACGAAAAATAAACCAAAAAAGAAGTAAAAAAGTGAAAAAAGTAAAAACAGTTATAAAACATTTTTTAAGTTAACCAAGAGAAAAGTAAAAAACCAAAACTAAACAAAAAATAAATGAACCAAAAATAAACCAAAACAAAGTTGAAGGAACCAAAAATAAACCAAAAAAAGATAAAGGAACCAAAAATAAACCAAAACGAAAGATAAAGGAACCAAAAATAACAAGAAAAAAATGTATAAACCAAAAATAAATCCAAAAAAGTATATAAAGAAACAAAAGTTAAACCAAAAACGAACCAAAAAAAATTTTGGTTTGTTTTTGGTTTAACTTTTGTTTCTTTACCAAAATTAAAAGTTAAACCAAACGTAAACAAAGTAAAAGTAAACCAAAAACGAACCAAAAAAAAATTTTGGTTCGTTTTTGGTTTACATTTGTTCCTTTATATACTTTTTTGAATTTATTTTTGGTTTATACATTTTTTTCTTATTTTTGGTTCCTCCATCTTTTTTTTTGGGTTTATTTTTGGTTCCTAAAAAAAAAGAAAATTTCAATAAGAGAAAAAAAAATTCTTTTTAAAATAGAAAATTAAAATTCCTCGTGATTCTTTTGTTCTTTTATTAGAAAAATGAAACCTAAAGTGAATATATAGCGATAGGTTAAAATAAAAGGGAGAGAGGATATCGCGCGCATTAACGAGCTTTTCCTAATTGTCAGAAAAAACTGGACCACACGATTAAGGTTGGGAAGACTCTCTCTCTCTCTCTCCTTCTCTCTCTCTTTATCTGTTGGCAAGGAACTAGGGAAAACTAATTGAAACCGCCTAACGACCTAGCAGCAAATGATACATCGACTCAGGAAAAGACCCTGTCTTAATAACGTTTCGTCTTATTTCCAGTTTGGTACGCGAACGGAAATGCAATTTAACCTTTTCTGGTTGAGAAAACTCACAATTGTCTCAAATTTAGTGATAACAATTATTCTCAAGCAGAGAGAGAGACAGAGATAATTTTCAAAAACGGTCAAAAATTCTAATCATTCGTTTAATTTTATTTTTTCTCTACTTTTTCTTTTATTTTCATTTTTTTTTCTTTTCCAGAACAAGAAGAAGAAAATTCTTTTTCTGGAAAAAGAAAAAATTAGTTTTTCGTTTTCACAAAAAGAAGAAAATTCTTTTTCTGGAAAAAGAAAAAATTAGTTTTTCCTTTTCACAAAAAGAAATAAAAAAGTAATTTTTGTTCTTTTCGCAAAGAGAAAAAGAATTTTTTCTTTAACAAATTAATTTTTCGAATTTTTATTATTATTTACGAATTTTCTTCTTTTTCAATTTTCAATTATTTTCGAACTATTTTTGAAGGTTTTTTTTACTAAAATTCTTTTTACTAAAATATTTGCAAATTTTTTATATTTGGAACCAATTTTCTTTCAAATTTTTTAATTAATTATTTTCAATTTCCGTTTCATCCCAAATTTTCCCAAAATTCGAATTTTTGATTTTTCGATTTTCAATTATTTCCGAACTATTTTCAAAGTTCGGAATTTTTTTCCACTAAAACATTTTTCAATTTCTTTTTGACATTTTGGACAAATTTTCTTTCAAGTTTCAAATTTTTTTAATTATTAATTAATTATTTGCATAAATTTTTGTAATTTCTTTGTAAATTTTCCAAAAATTCGACATTATTCCAAGAGAAAATCTCTTGGAAAATTTTGGCACTTTAATATTTATAGAATAAAAAATAGTCGATAGAAAAAAATGATTTTTATTGACTCACCGAATGAATGAATGCCAATTGTCCAAAAATTCCTTCTCGACAATGTAATAAATAATCGTTGGATCGGTGCACTTTTGAAGTTCATTCCTGTATTTTCCGTAGTATAAATTTCTCAATTCATTCTTTTGCTCTCGCGCCTTTACTTTGTCCTCCTCTTTTGATTTTTGAACAGTTTCGAAACTCGCCTGCAAGAAAAAAAGAAAAGAAAAGGAAAATTAAAATTTATTACAAAAAAGAACAAAATTAAAATTTATTACAAAAAAAAAGAAAAGTTAAAATTTATTACGAAAAAGAACAAAATTAAAATTTATTACAAAAAAAAAGAAAAATTGAAATTTATTACAAAAAAGAACAAATTAAAATTTTTTACAAACAAAAGTAATTCAAATTTATTACAAACAAAAACAAACCAAAAACAAAAATTTTTTCCTTAGTATTTTAAAATTTGAAAATAATTTCTACGTTACTTCATCAAAATTCGTATATTTCTTCTTTAAGAAATTCAAAAGAATTTTAATTTTTCCACAAGTGATTCAAATTTTTAGAATTTTACAAAATTTAGAAATAGAAATTTTATTTTATTACTGAACACATTTCCATTTTGTTCCCGGATTTTTGTTTAAAACAAAAAAAAATATGAATTTTCAATTTTAAAATATTTTCAATATTTTTATAATTAAAATTGTATTAAAAATAATTGAATTTTTGGGAAAAATTGTACTATTTATAAAAAATAATTTAATTTTTGGAAAAAATTTTACTATTTATAAAAAATAATTAAATTTTTGCAAAAAATTTTACAATTTACAAAAATAATTGAATTGTTTTGAAAGATTTATTAAAACTTTAGAAAATAATTAAATTTTTTGGAGAAATATTAAATATTTTTAAAAAATTGAATTCTCTCATGAAATTTTACAGAAAATAATTGAATTTTTTGCGAAAAATTTTATTAAAAATCATTAAACTAATTAAATTCCTGTCAAAAATGTTATAAATTATGAAAATAATTGAATTTCTGTGAAAAAATTTATAAAAATCTTTAAAATTATTTAATTCTTGTCAAAAATTTTATAAATTACCTATGAAAATAATTGAATTTTTGCGAAGAATTTTATTGAAATTCGTTAAAATAATTAAATTCTTGTCAAAGATTTTATAAATGATGAAAATATTTCAATTTTTTCGAAGAATTCAACTAAAATTTTTAGAAAGTAATTAAATTTTATCGAACAATTTAATTAAAATTGTTTAAAATAATTTAATTCTTGCAAATAATTTTATAATTTTTATGAAAATGATTTAAATCTTGCTAAAAATTTTTGAAAATAATTGAATTTTTTCTAGGAATTGAATTAAAATTGTATTAGAAAACATTTCAATTCTCAGAAGGATTTTAATTAAAATTTTTTTAAAACAATTGAATTTTTGCGAAAAATTTTATAGATTAATAATTGAATTTCTGCGAAGAATTTTATTAAAATTGTATTTAAAAATATTGAATTTTTACAAAAAATGTTGCTATTTATAAAAATAATTTAATAGTTTCAAAGAATTTATTAAAATTTAAGAAAATAATTGAATTCTTTTGAAGAATTTTATAACGAATATTAAGAAAAAAAAATTGAATTCTTTCGTGAAATTTTATTGAAAATAATTGAATTTTTGCAAAGATTTTACCATTTAAAAAAATAATTGAGTTTTTCGAAAGATTTATCAAAATTTTAGAAAATAATTTAATTCTTTCCTGAAATTTTATTAAAACTTTGTTGAAAATAATTGAATTCTTTCTATAAATTTAATAAGTCAATTTTTTAAATATTGGTTTTAAAATTATTCTTAAACGTATATTTGAAAATAAAAATTTTTGTAATTCACATAATAATGAAAATAACTAAATATCAAGTTGCACGCGCATAACTTTTGCTAGTAAATAAATAATTAAATAAAAAAAGAAGGAGATGTGGATATTGAAAAGAATAAATAAATAATTAAATAAAAAAGAACGAAATGTGGATATTAGAAGAAAAAAGAAAAGAAAAATCTTACCTCGCAAATATTGCAAGGATGCACTTGAATTGAAAATTCCCGCGCCTCGGGAAAATATTTTCGCAAAATGTCCCACGCCTCTTTTGGAATAACTTTCCTCGACGAGTCCGGCGTACGTAGACAATTGTGCTCGCACAATAAATCTTCATTAAAATTAAGAACGTCATTATCGTCGTCCTCCTCGATTCCTGGCTCCTCATTGCCATTTTGTTGATTCGATTGTATATTGAATTTCTCATTTAGTTCCTCGTTAAATTTTTCTGTCGCCAGCCTTCGCCAGTATTTCAAAGATTCCGCTCCCACAATATAGCAATTATCATCTCTGCAAGAGGAATCATCAAACAAATTAAACAATTGTCATCATTTTATTTATTTATTTACATTTTATTTTTTTTTTAAATTCTTTATTTATGATTTTTCATATTTTTGTTTTATTTAATATTTTTCAAAACTATAATTATCAATTTTTATTTTACAACTTCAATTATTTCTTTTTTTTTACCCAAATAAATAAAAACTTGAATTGATAAATTCAAAACAGAAAAAAATTGACAAAAATCAACAAAATTTAAAATAATTATTGTAAATTATAATTTAAATTCTATTTCAAATTATATTTTTCCCTTTTTTCAAATATATAAGAATTTCAGTTTTTATAATTAAAAAAGTGGGGAAAAGAAAATTAAAAAAATCCAACTGTCTGAATTAAATCAAAATTGGAAATCAAAATTGCTAATAAAAATTGAAAATAAGAATTGGAAATGAAAATTGAAAATAAGAATTGTAAATAAAAATTGAAAATAAGAATTGCAAATAAAAATTAAAAATAAGAATTATAAATAAAAATATAAAAAAAAGAAATTAAAAATTCAAATTCTAAATAAAAATTGAAATTAAAAATTATAAACCAAATTGCAAGAAAAAATTGAAAGTCAAAATTAAAAACCAAAATTACAAGAAAAAATTGAAAATCAAAATTGCTAATAAAAATTGAAAATAAGAGTTGGAAATAAAAATTGAAAATACAAATTGCAAATAAAAATTGAAAATAATAATTCTAAAAAAATAAAAAAAACAAATTGCAAATAATAACTGAAAATACGAATTGTAAACAAAAAATTGAAAAAATACAATAAATAATTAAAATAATTAAATAATAATTTTAAGTGTTTTTTTTTCTGCCCGACTCACGTGATTTTTAAGGCGCGAACCAATTCGCCAAGTTCCTTCGCGTCCTTCTCCAGCGAGACTTTAAATCTTTGCGAGGTGCATTTTCGTTCGACGCAAGGCCGACAAAGTGACATTTGATCGAGTCGAATGTCGCCGCCATAATTTTGATAGAGTAAATCCGCGGAATTTGTCGGAATACATTTTGCCTTATTCACTTTCGCCGGATCGAAATTGCCATGACAACATTGTAACGTTGTCACGTCAATTGACGAAATAATATTCGTTTGTGAATTGAGCCATTTTGTCAGCCATTCCGTTGGTATCCAAACATGCTCAAAATGTGAATCCTTATTTTGAATCATTTGATAAAAATCAATCACCAATTGCCGCTTAACATTGTGATCGCCAACAATTTTTCTCTGTTAACAAAAAAACAATTCAATATTATATTATTAAAAATGTGATAAAATTCATTGCAAAAATTTAATTATTCTGAAAAATTTTGATCAAATTCTTTATGAGAATTAAAATATTTTCTAATTTTCAAATTCCTCGACAAAATTCCATTATTTTTTTAAATTCTTCGCTGAAATATCATTATTTTTGACAAAATTTTGATTAAATTGTGTATAAGAATTGAAATATTTTCCAATATAATTTTTTATTAAAATTCCTCGACAAGAATTCCATCATTTTCGAAAATTCTAAGAAAATTTTTATCAGAAATTCAATTATTTTCATAATAAATCAAATCTTTGACAGAAATTTAATTGTTTTAAAGAAATAATAAAATTCTCCGCAGAAATTCAATTATTTTGATAATTTAGGAAATTTTTCACAAGAATATTATTATTTTAAAAAGAACTTTAATAAAATTTTTAGCAGAAATTCAATTGTTTTCTTAATTTGTAAAATTTTTGACAAGAATTACTTTAAAAAATTTTTATTGAATTCTTTATAAAAATTAAAATATTTTTTTTAATAGGTAAATTTTTTTATTATATTCTTCGAAAAAATCCAATTATTTTCGAGATTTTTAGCAAAATTTCAATTATTTCCATATTTTATAAAATTTTTTACAAGAATTTAATTACTTTAAAGAAATTTAATTAAATTTCTCCAAAAATGTAATTATTTTTTTTAATTTTAGTTAAATTCTTTGTAGAAATTCAAATATTTTCAATATTTATAAAATTTTTGACAAGAATTTATTTATTTTAAAGAATTTTATTGAAATTCTTCGCAGAAATTCAATTATTTTCATAATTTATAAAATTTTTGCCAAGGATTCAATTATTTTAAAGAATTTTAATAAAATTCTTCGCAAAAATTCAATTATTTTCATAATTTTTGACAAAAACAATTTTGATTGAATTCTTTCTGAAAATTGAAATATTTTTTTGATTACAATTTTTAATTCAATTCTTCGAAAAAATTCAATTATTTTCTAAAATTTTAGTTAAATTTCTTCGCAGAAATTCCATTATTTTCATAATTTATAAATTTTTTGACAAGAATTTAATTATTTTAAAGAATTTTAATAAAATCTTTCGCAAAAATTCAATTAATTTGAAAAAATTTTGATTAAAGTCCTGAAGAGAATTGAAATATTTTCTAATACAATTGTAATTAAATTTCTCAAAGAAAATCAATTATTTTCTTAGATTTTAGTTAAATTAGTGGCAGAAATTCAATTATTTTCATAATTTATAAAATTTTTGACAGCAATATAATTATTTTAAAGAATTTTAATAAAATTTGTCACAAGAAATTTTTAAAAATTTAATTATTCACTAATTTGCTAATTAATTATAATAATTTATTGTTTTCAAAAACTTTTATAAAATTCTTCACAGAAATTCAATTATTTTCATAATTTATAAAATTTTTTGCAAGAGTTTAATTACTTTAACAGTTTCTAATTAAATTCCTGGAAAAAATTCAATTATTTTTTAAAATTTTAGTTAAATTCTTCGAAGAAATTCAATTATTTTCATATTTTATAAATTTTTTGACAAAAATCTAATTATTTCAAAGAATTTTAATAAAATTCTTCGAAAAAATTCAATTATTTTTGTTAATTTTAATTATTTTAAACAATTTTGATTAAATTTCTCGATAAAATTGTATTGTTTTCTAAATTTTTAATTAAATTCTTCGCAGAAATTCAATTATTTTCTTAATTTACAAAATTTTTCACATTAATTTAATTATTTTGAAAATTTTTAAAAAGTTCTTCGTAAAAATTCAATTACTTGGAAAAATTTTGACTGAATTCTTTATGAGAATTAAAATATTTTTTAAAATACAATTTTAATTAAATTCCTCGAGAAAATTCAATTATTTTCAAAAATTTCAATTAAATTCGTCGCAGAAATTTAATTATTTTCATAATTAAACCAATTTTTCGCAGGAATTTAATTATTTTTAAGATTTTGAATACATTTCTATGCAAAAATTTTATTACTTCGAAAAGTTTTAATAAAATTCTTTAAAAAAAATTTAATTAAATACTTTGAAAAACTTTAATTTTTTTTCTAAATAATAAATTTCTTGGCAGAAATTTATTTATTTTGAAATATTTGATAAAATTCTTTATATAAGGATTTAATTATTCTTTATTCAATTTTATTAAAATTCTTATCAAGATTTCAATTTATTTACATAATTAAAAACATTTTTCGAAAGAATTGATTATTTTAATGAAATTTCTCGTAAGAATTAATGTATTTTCAAAGATTTTAATCAAATTTTTCGAAAGAAATTTAATTATTTTGAAAAATTTGATTGTTTTTTTTTTCTCGTAAACAAAAATTTTTCTTTACCTTCTGCTCTTGAGCGTCAATTGTTTTTAATTCGTAGTCGACATTTTCCGCTCGGAGAATTTCACGAATTTTTCTACTCACTCCCCATTCTTCAAACTCACGCTGCAAAAAAAGGAAAACAATTATTATTTTTATTACTTAGAGAGAAAAGAAATTTCTTTCTTTTTTTATTTATTTAATAATTTAATTTTTATTTTATTTATTAGGTCTAATTCTTACCCTCAAAATTATCAAAATAAACATAGATTAGAAAAATAAAGTAGAAAATTCCAAAGTTGATAATTTAAATGATTTAAATAAAATTAGAAAGAAATTTAAGTTTAAAATTTATATAAAATCAAATTTTTTAAAATTTAAAAGTAAAATTAAAATTAAAATTTACATAAAATCTAAAAATTTTTTATAATTAAATTTTAAAAATGTTTGAATTAATTAATAATATTTTGTCAAATTTGAAAATATTGTCAATTTGAAAAAATTCTCACATCCAATTGTCTTTCCGTCTCTTCTAAACTAATGTGTAAATGTGCAGCACCATTTAAAAGTTTACTTCCATTCGAAGTATCGGGAATTTCCTCGATAATTTCCATATCGCCATTACTGTTTCTTTGCTTCTTTAATGTCGTCATCTCCGTGTTTAATGTACTATTTGTCGTACTCTGTCCTTTCCTTTTTGTTCCCAATTGGTGGCATTTTTTATAAACAAGCATATAAGCGGCGTTCGAGAGATATTCGCCTTTTGCTCGCGGTTTCGTTGCCTTCGTATGTTCTGCAATTTCATTAAATTTATTATTTATTTATTTTTTCATTTATTTTCATATTCAAGATTGCCAGAAAAAACTTTCTTTTTTCCTGACATTTCCAAACAAAATTTTGACTTTTTCCCTGACCCTCAAGAATATTCTGCTTCACTCCAAAAATTATTAGATACTCAAAAAAATGTTCTATTACATTTATTTACAAATTTCTTCAAAAGTAAAGTTATTCGAAAACATCAATAACTTCTTTTTTTAAATAAATAATTAATCATTATTATTTTTCTATAGGAATTAAAGATTTCAAATCCAAACCTTTTGAAATTAAACAACTTATAAAAAAATGTAAAAAAAATTTAAAAATTAATTAATTAATTAATTAATTAAAAAATTATAAAAAATCACTCCGAGTCTTCGACTCGGAGCAATCGATTTCTTCACGTTTTATATAAAATTTAAAATGACAGAGTGATAAAATCATTATTTTATATTATAAGAATATTGCAACTATAAATTCAAATTTTCAAAGATTTTAATTTTTTAACCCTTTTCAAAATTCACTTATTTATAAAAATTCACGCTATGATGCTTTTAATATTCAATTATAATTTCAAATTTTAAGTGAAATTCATTTTTAATCAATTTTTATTAGAAAATTTTTCGAGAATTCAATTATTTAAATGCAAAGATAAATAATATATTAAATAATTGAATATTTCTTAAAATTAAATTTTTTTAAAAGAAATTTATAAAAAAATTCTAAAAATAATTGAATTCTTTCGGCGAATTTTAAAAAAATTATAAAGAATAAATGCTATTTTTTTATCAGTTTATGTAAAATTGTACATAAAAAATCATTTAAACTCTGCTATAAATATTGTTATTTATAAAAGTAATTTGATTCTTGCAACGAATTTTTTTAAAAAAATTGAAAATAATTGAAATCTGGGGAAGAATTTTATTAAAATTTTTTTTTAATAATTGAATTCATGTGAAAAGTTTTATTTTTGAAAAAAATTTGAATTCTTGGGAAGAATTTAATTAAAATTTCTTAAATAATTGAATTGCTTCAAAGAATTTTATTTTTTAAGAAAATAATTGAATTGTTTCGAAGATTTTTACAAACATTTTTGATTCAATGCAATTCAAATTAAATTTATTAAAAGAATTCAATTATTTTTAAAAATACTAAAATTCCTCCAAAGAATGCAATTATTTTCATAAATGAGAAAATTTTTTGCAGAAATTTTTATTATTTTCAATACAATTTTCATAAAATTTAGTGAAAGAATAAAATTATTTTGAATTCAATGTTTATAAAATTTATTGCACGAATTCAATTTTTTTTGAAAACTTTTAATAAAATTCTTCGCAAAAATTCAATTATTTAAAAAAAAAACAATAAAAATCTTCGTAGAAATTCAATTATTTTTAAAAAAATTAATAAAATCTTCACAGGAATTCTATTATTTTCAAAAATTATTAAAATTCTTAGCAATAATTCAATTATTTTCATAAATAATAACATTCTTCTGAAGAATTCAGTTATTTTCATAAATAATAAATTTGTTTTGCAAAAATTGAATTATTTTCAACAAAATTTTAATAAATCCTTCGAAAAAAATTCAATTGTTTTTTCAAATAGTAAAAATCTTTGCCAAAATTCAATTATTATCAATAAAATATCAGGAAAGAATTCCTGTGAAGAATATTTTATTTGTGAAAATAATTGAATTCCAGAGAAAAATATTATTATTTATGATATGAAATTAATTTCTTGTGAAGAATTTTATTCAAATTTTTTTCTAAATAATTGAATTCCCATAAAAAATGTATTATTTGTGAAAATAATTGAATTGAATAGGAAAATTTTATTAAAATTGCAATTTTATTAACTAAATCTTGTAAAGAATTTTATCAAAATGTTTTTAAATAATAGAATTTTTAAAAGAATTTTATTTAAATTTTGCGAAATAATTGAATTTCTCAGAACTATTTTTTTCTATTCTTTGAATATATTTGAATTCTTTCGATAAACTTCATTATTAAAAATTAAAAATAATTGAATTGGTGCGAAGAAATTTATAAAAAATTGGAAAGTAATTGAATTCCTGTGAAATTTTTATTAAAATTTCCTTTAAATAATTGAATTCTTTTGGAAAACTTTATTAAAATAGTAAATATTAAAAATAATTGAACTGAGGAAAATTTTTGAAAATAATTGAAATTTTGCCAAGAATTTAATTAATTTTTTTGAAAATAATTGAATTTCGGAGAAGAATTGTATTATTTATAAAAATAATTGAAATTTTGACGAGAATGTTTATAAATTTATGAAAATAATTGAATTTCTGTAATCAGTTGTTCTTAAAATTTCTATTTAAAATAAATTCATTAAAAATTGAAATTTTATAAAATTTTAAATTGAAATTTTTTGATTTCAAATACAATTTCAAATTCTTGTCAATTTTGATATCAAATTTACAAAAAGAAAATGGAGAAAAATGAAAAAAAAGAGAAGGAAAAAAAAGAGGAAAGATAAATCGATAAATAAAAAATATAAAATAAAAAATCGAAAAGAAAGAAAAGAAAAAAAGTAAAAAAGAAGAAGAAAGAAAAAAAATACTTTACCATTAATATCATCGCGGGAAATTTTCTCAACTTTCGCGTCATTATACTGATACCATTCGCCATTTGAATTGCAAATTGTCGCAGTGTAATGTCCAGAATGTGCGGAACTTCCTCTATGACTCAAAATTGCCACCAAATTGTAAACATGCGTATTTGCCGGACAATCGAGATATTGTGACATATCCAATTTATCAGGGAAGTAAATTGCCGTGTTAACTTTCTTCTTTTGACCGCTCAATCTAAAGACGAAAAATAAACGAAAAAATAATATATTATAATTTTATTTCGCCATGTAATTAATTTTTCCATAAAATAAAAAAATGGCTTTAAAGGGCCTTTGAGCCCGTATATTCATTAAATAAATAAATATTAAATAAATATATAAAAAAAACTTACCGATGAAAGACAAATCTCAACAAATGAATATTCAACACTTCCGGTAATGAATCCAAACGAATAAAACGTCTCGCGTCTTGTTTTGCATTACATCTCGCGCAGTGATATTGATTTGTGTCCGTTAATTGTTCCTCGCTTAAATATTTATTAATTGAGTCTTTCAACGATTGCGCCAATTGAAGATCCAATTCGTAAAATGTCGTCGTCGTTGGATATTCCGTGCCGCACGTTTTGCAACTAAAAAAAAGAGAAAAAATTTTCGTAGTATTAAGAATAGAAAATTGAAGAAGAAGAAAAAGAAAAAAGAAAAATGAATTTACCAATTGATATAACTCTGTTGACCCTGCGTTAAACTTCGCAATCGTTCCTTAGTTCCGTGATTCAATTTTGTCTCGACGAGATTTAAAAGAAGTTTGGCAAATTCCTGCGCATCTTGCTGTGTACACGTGTCCAATGATAATGTACAAAAAAAATTCAAAAGATCAACATTACGCTGATTGCCAAATTGTAGCATTGCAAATATATATTGTAATTGTCCAAGAACCGTCACCGGATGATAAAGTTGATTTGTCTCCTCGGCAACTTTTATTGCCGCCTTCTCCTCGGCGTCATCCTCCAAATTCCATTCGTAAATTATTCTCCTGTCAAATTTAAAAAAGAAAAAGTTAATAATTTATTTTTAAAAAGTGAATAAAAAATGAATAAAATTGAATTAAAAATTAAATTAAAAATAAATAAATTTAATTTTTCCATTTCTTTAGATTTTACACATTACGAAATTAATTCAAATCAAGTATATTTTTTGGAACAAGAAATTTAAATACAAAGCGAAACAAACAAAAGAAAAAAAATACAAAAGTTACAGATAGAAAATATATTCAAATAGAATAATTATTTTACAATTGGAAAGAAAATTAGTAAATACGAAAAAAATAAAGAAAAAGTACAAAAAAATTCGAAAATTTCAAAATAAATTCAAAAGGAATAAAATTTACTTATGATTTTAAAAAACTACAAAATTCCATCAAAAAAATTGAAAAAATATGAAATAAATTGAATTTTTCTTTTTATTTCACAAAAAGAATAAAAAAATATTTTAAAAAATGCGAACTATAAAATTCAAAAACTTTAAAAAATCTCGAAATAAATTCAAAAAGAATAAATTATTCTTTTTATTTTACAAAGAGAATAAAAATACAAAAAATCTAAAAAAAATTACAAAAATACAAACAAATAAAAAAATTTCGAATTAAATTTCAACAGAATAAATTTTGCTCTTTTATAAAAATATTGAGAAATTACGAATTAAAAATTGAAAATATTGAAAAATAGAAAAATCACAAAATAAATTCAAAAAGAATAAATTTTTCTTTATATTTTACAATAAAATTTTTTAAAAAATACAAAAAAATATGAATACATACAAAAAAAAGATAAGAATACAAAGAACTGTACTAAATTCAAAAAATAAAAAAATTAGGAATTAAAGCCAAAAAGAATAAATTTTTCTCTTTATTTTACAAAAAAAACAAAAAATTTTTTACTATTACAAAAATTAAAAAATTAAAAAATCACGAATTAAATTTAAAAAGAATAAATTTTTATTTTTATTTTACAAAACAATATGAAAAAATATGAAAAATTGCGAAAATTATGAAATAAATTTAAATTGACAAATTTTTTTTTATTTTATTTTACAAAAAAAAAACCAAAAAATTGTTTACTATTACAAAATTTAAAAAATTAAAAAATACAAAAAATTACGCAATAAATTCTAATATAATAGAAATTTTTATTTCTATTCCACCAAAAAAAAAAAATTTTAATATTAAAAAATACAAAAATTTTGTGATAAATTCAAATATAATAGAAATTTTTTTTCTATTCCACCAAAAAAAAATTTTAAATATTAAAAAATACAAAAATTTTACAATAAATTCAAATAGAATAGAAAATTTTATTAGTATTCCACAAAAAAAAATACAAAAAATATGAGAAAATACTAAATAAATTGAATTTTTCTTTTTATTTAACAAAAAAGAATAAAAAATATCAAAAAATGACAAATTACAAAATTAAAAAATAAAAAAGTCACGAAATAAATTAAATATAGAAATTTTTATTTTATCGAAAAAAATACAAATAATATGAAAATTACTAAATAAATTCAAATAGAATAAAGTTTTTCTTTTATTTTACAAAAAGAAAAATACAAAAAACATGAAAATATATGAAAAAATACGAAATAATTTAAATATATTTAATTTTTCTTTTTATTTTAGAATAAAAAAGAATAAAAAAATACCAAAAAAATAAAAAATTCCCAAAATAGATTAAAATAAAACAAATTTTTCGTTTTATTATGCAAAAAAAGTAAAAAGTACAAAAAAAATATTAAAAAAAGTCAAAAAAACATGAAAATTACTAAATAAATTTAAATAGAATAGAAATTTTAATTTTTAGAGTTTAAAAAAAAAAATATTTCCAAAAACAAAAATCTTTTTATTATTCATTTCCCTTTTTTGCCCTGATTTTATTACCTCATTTTCTCGTTGTGAAACCATAGTTGGAGTAAACTGTTGACGTAACAAGTGGCACCGAGATTATTCAAACCAACAGGTTGCGATGTATCGCGAAGATTTTCATTCAACGAATCCTCCAAAGGATCAAGTTTCGATTCATTCGAATTTAAATATTTGTCTTCGCCCAATCCCGTTAAACATTGTGGATTATTGCTACAATTTCGCCTGAGAAACAAGACCAAAAATTTTAATTTTCTTCAAGAATTCTCTCTTTTTTTCCGAGGAAAAAAACAAGTAAAACAACAACAAAAAATCAAGAAAAAGAACAAACAAATTTTTGGAAAACTTTCCAAAGAATAAAAGTTACTGTCAATCAAATTTGATTTTTTTTTCAATTTCTTTTCAATTTCACTCTGAATCTTTTCAATCCTCTGAATAAACTTGCGGTATTTTTATTTTATTTTTAAAAATTAAATTCACTTCGGAAGAGAAAATTTTGTTTCTTTAAATTTTATTTTTTTAAAGAATAACAATTTTCAAAAATACACAAAAAATAGAAATTGAAAGACCAAAGGAATATTTAGAGACAGAAAAACATAGAAAACAATTAGCGATTGTAAAAACTTACTTGCAATTCGTGCAATTTCTCAATCCTAGCCGATAAGCAGTTTCCAAATGAATTCTTTGAATTTCATTCGGTTGAACAGTTTCGGTCCAAATCCATGCTTGTTTATCTATATCTAATTTCTTCGTTGGTGCCATTTTGACCTAAATTTTTACAATAAATAAAAAAATTATTCTTTCAGAATCTCGCAAAGAAAACAAAAAAAAATTCGACAACTTTCCTATTTTGCGAATATTGTCAAACATAACCTCAAAAAACAAGGAGAAAAACACACACGACAAGATCTTTTTTTAATAATAAAACAAAAAAAAACAATTACTTTTTGACATATCAATAATGCTTCTTTCTGAAAAAAACAAAACAATAGAAATATTTTTTCTAGGAATTTTTTCTCCAGACAAAAGTTATATACAATATATATAACTAGCAGCGTGACAAAATTTCACTTCTTCCCGCCATGACCGTAAACCCTCTCGATAAATTTACTCTATAAAGATATTTATTTGTAAAATAGATTTCTTTTCTAATTTAAAAAATACATATTGCCATAATAGACAAAAGAATTTAGATCAAAATTTATTAATTCGTTTACAAACCCCGATTTGATGGTAAAATTTGATGTATGGTGATTATTGTAGAAAAGAAAAACACTGTGATTTTTGTGATGATTCGTGAATATAGTTAAAAGCATTGGGTAAGTTAATTTTTTTAATTTAATATATATATAATATCCAAAATGTGATTTTATTCCTCTTTTTTCCACTAATACGCACGTACACAAACACACACTTGAAATTAACACTATTTTTTTTTTGTTGCTGCAAAAATATCACTGTAATCGCATTTATTTTTGCACTGAGATTAATATGTACTATTCTTTCACATTTATATAGATATATATATACAATTAAACTCTCGAATGATAAAATATATGCAACACGAGAAACTTGTTATTATCCCAAACGAATTTTGGGAAAATTTTCATTGTATACACGCGCGGCCATCTTGGATTTCAAGTAGAAAACCGCCGGCCAATCAGCGTCGAGACCAAGATTCAAGCGGGAAAATTCAAATCGAATTTACTTTTTTAATTCTAATTATAAATAATTATAAATAATTTTCTATTTTTCGAAAAGAGAAAATGTCCCAGGAGTCAATTGGTAAGTTAAGAAAAAAATTAATTAATTAATTAAAATATTTAACTAATAAAAAAAAATTTTTTTTTTAAATTTTTTTAAAAATTAAAAACTATCATTTTTTTTAAACGAAATTTTTTTTTCACAGTAACGCCGGATATTCTATTGGAATTTCTAGAGGCGGCTTTCCATCAGATTTTGTATTATCGTAAAATTTATCCGGATTCGATTTATTCGAGGAGAAAATTGTATGGAATTGGAATTTACGTTTCGGAACATCCGGATCTTAATGAATATTTAAAAAATGTTTTAAATTCATTGAGAGAATTGTTGAAGGACGATATTTCGTGTGTGAAAGCAGTGCAAATGACATTTTTCAATAAGGAGAGAATTCCAATTGAAAAATTTGTTTTCGATATTCTCGATTTGAAGGCGTCCGATAAAGAGTAATTTTTTATTAATTAATTTTAAAAATAATAAACAATTGAAATAAATAATAATAGAAATAATAAATAAATAATAGTAAATAAAATAAAGTTAAAAAAAATAATATCAATAAGAATGGTAAATTGAGTTTCTAAAGAAGGTTCGGTATTGGCTGCGGGGCTTAAGGCGTAACTTCGGAATAACAAGGTGCGGGGTTCGAATCCTGTCTCGGGTGGATTTTTAATTAATTCAGTAAATAAAAGAGGGGGAAGGGGAGTATTAAAATTTAAAATAAGTAAAACAATATGAATTATAAATAATAAATTAATATAAATTATAAAGTAATAAAATAAATAAATAAATATGAGTTTTTAAATTAATATAATTAAATTAAATAAGGAAATAAATAAAAATATGGAATTAAAATATATAAAAAAAATAGAAAATAAAGTATAAAGGTTAGTGAATAAAAAAAATTAAAAAAGGTAAATTAATAAAAAAGAAAAAAGTGAGGGAAAAGTAAAAAAACAGAAATTTAATAAATACAGAGAATTAAAACAGGCAAAAAAAAAATAAATAAAAATACGAAAAAGTAAAAGACAATGAAAATAATTAAAATAACAAGAAAATAAAAATACAAAAAAAAAATAATAAAAATACGAAAAAAATAAAATAATGCAAATAATATAAAAATACAAAAAATAAAAATACCAAAGTAATAAAAACTACAATAAAATAAAAAATACAGTAAATTAAAAAATGCAATAAATTAAAAAGAATTAAGTAAACAATGAAAAATAAATAAAATAATGAAAAATAATTATTTTTTTAGGGCAGATCCCTACTTTTTGAAAACGGAAGAGGCCCTGAGGACGATTTGCCTGAAAATCTCAACAACCGAATCATATTTAAAACCATTGCCGGAAAATTCGACATTTCGCGTGAATTTCCTGACATTTGAATCGTCACACATTGGATTAAGTGAAAATGCAAATTTCGCCGATTTCCCCTGGATTGTCGACGACAGTGACATTGAATTAAAAAATCAACAACTCCTCCCATTGAAAACAATAAAAACCGATTGTCTCAATTTACAAATGTACGCGATCGAGGATAAATTATCGAAATTGAATATTAATTCCAGTAATAAAAAAGAAACTTGTGCCATTGCAACGACAAGTAAATTAAAAAACTGAAAAAGAAAATAAAATAAAAGAAGAAAAGAAAAAAATTAAAATATTGTTCAAATTAAACTTACCATTTTTAATAAAGATGCATTTTCAATTAGAAAAACAATTATTAATTTGTCCGATTTCTTTTTTTTTGAATTCAAGATTCAAAATCCATGTATTTTTAGGTTATGTTTGCGAGAATATTTTCTCTTAATTTGTTCACTTGTGGGGCAAATAAATAATTGTCATTTATAGAAATTTATAATATTTACTTTCGAAATAAAGAAAAAAACTAATGGAATTGGGGATTTTTATTTATTCTATCACTGAAATTAAAGAAAACAATTCGCGAATGTGAAAATAAACTTTGAACGTCTTTTGAACGCTTTAAACGAAAATATGCGCATGCGCGTGATAGGCAACCGGTCATACACGCATGTATTTTTTGACTGTTTTGAATTTAATTTCCTTTCCTTATTATTTATTTACTTACAATTTGATTCTTCCTTTCTTGATTCTCCTCTTTATTATGTATTTTCTTCTTCTTCTTTATCATCTTTATCAAATCAAGAAGTTTTCTTGTTGAAAATATTCGAAAATATTCAAAAACGGAAATGACTAAAGTAGTCCAGTTTTTTTTCAAAAACTAGCAAAGTGCGAACAGCTGATTTCCGACGTAAATAAACCGTGGAAAAATGTCAAAGGAATTATCGTTTTGGGAAAAAAGTATATGTACTGATAAGTGAAAAATAGAAACATTGTCATTCGATAATTATTTTTCTTACTTTTATTTATTCAATTTATTAAATGGTGAAAAAAGAATAGGAAGAATAGAGAGGAAAAATGATGAGCGACGTCGATGAATCGGTAGTTGTCGATGAAATTCAACCAGAACTTCGATCATCAAAAAGGTAACTGTAGAATATAAGAATTTTTATCTATTCTAAATGTACAAATAGGATAGAAGATTAAATTTTCTTTGTTTTACTTTCTCTATATAAATGATTCGACTCTATATAAAATACGTGATGCGCAAAAAAAGAGGAGGTTACGTCCTAACCTCAAAATGTCAAAGTATCGTTTTTGGAACAATTTCTTTTTATACGAAATTGTCAATAGAAACTTTGTTTTTCTTATTTTGGATAATAAAAATTTCCTTATTTTGAAGATTATCAATAATAATTTACAGAAAATCTATTTAAAAAACTAAAATTAAAAAAGATAAAATCACTAAAATATAGCTTTTACGACCTAACCTCAAAATGTCAGTTTTTCCAGTTTTTCGTTTTAATAAAAGTTCGCAGAAAAATGTAATTTTTTTTCCTTGTGGAAAAACAGGGAAAATGAGGAATTGTCGATGTCTCAGGATTTACAAAAGGCAGCCGAGGAACTTACACAGGGGCTTTTGAATATTTATCAACCGCCTCTCGAGCAACTCGAAAAAGAACTCAAGGAACTCACGTAAGTAAAAGTGGAATTATTTTCTTAAATAATTAAATCTTAAATTTAATTATTGATTAAATAAATTTTTGAAAAATTTCATAATAAAAAAATTTTTTAAATCCACTTATTAAGTACATAATTAATTATTACTGTTTATATTTTCAAAAATTCAAAGAAATTCTTCAAAAGAATTTAATCAGTATTTTCAAAAATTTTAATAAAATTCTTTGCAAGTTAAGAATTTAATTATTTTGATAAATATTAATACAATATTTTTGTAAGTAATTCTAATATTTTCAAATTTTTTTGAAAAAACTTCAAGATTTATTAATATAGATATTATAATAATTGTTGTTTTTTAGAACGAAACAAGAAACATTGTTGCATGAAATGCAAAATGAGAATAAAAAAATAAACGACGTCGAAGGCGAGCCAAGTATCAACGAAATAGTAAATATTTTACGAATTAAGTTATTTTTAAAGAAAAGAAAAAATTACATATTTAATTAATTCAAATTCAAAATTTTTTATCGTGAAATCCTTTTTTTAAACTGTATTAAAATTTTTTTTATTTTCATATTTTTAATATTTTATTTATTTTTCTTTTTAGTTTTTATATTTATTTTATATTTAATATAAACGGGAAATTATTATTAACTGTTATTTAATTTAAATTGCTTCTTATTTTTTTAATATTTACATTTTTTAAGATTTTTAGTATTAGGATTTTTCTTGTAAATTAAAAAATTCTTCATTTAAATTATTTTTTATTTGTAAACAAAATTTTCTTATTTTTTTTTTTACAGTTTTCAATGATAAACACATATCAAACGAAACTTGCTTCACTTAAATCCGATATGGTTTCAATTCACGAAAGAACATCGAAGTTAAAGGTGAGAAAATTTCCTTCGATTTTAATTCTAAACGAGATTTATTCGATTTTGTTTTTTTTTTTAAAAAAATTTTTTTACAAAAACAGAAGATAAAATTATAAATTTACAAAAACGGAAAAAAAATTAGAAAATTAGAAATTTACAGAAGCAAAAAATAAAATTAGAATTTTACAAAAACAAAAAAATAAAATTACAAATTTACAAAAACAAAAAATAAAATTACAATTTCCAAAATTTCAAATTTAGAAAAACAAAAATAAAATTAGAAAATTTACATAAATAAAGAATTAAATTACAAATTTCGTAAATTTAAAGTAACGAAAAGAAATAAAATTATATTATTATTAATAAAATTAATAAATAAAATAACAAAAGAAATAAAATTAGAATTACAAAATTTAAAATTTACAAAAATAAAATTACAATTAAAAAATTTAAAATTTATAAAAACAAAAAATAAAATCACAAAATTGTAAAAAAAATAAATTTACCTTGAAAAATTCTATTAATTTTACGAAAAATAGAAAAAAATAAAAAATTTCAAAAAGAAATATTGTTTATTGTTTCAAATTGAAATAATAAAATTGAAAAAATTTACAGAATCGAGCTTTGCGACTGCAAAAGACAAAACAGAAGGAAGCAGTTCTCAAGGAGCAAAAACGAGAACAAGAATTGAGACGTGAACAGGAATTAATTGGAAAACCAAAAATTGAAGAACCAGGTTCGAGTTAAAAGAATTTTTTTTTACCTAGGGAAAAAGGAAATCAAACACCAAAAAAAAGTATTAGAACTTTTGGTTGCAATTTCAAATATTTTTTTATTTTATTTCCTAAAATTTGTTTTTTAAACAACCGAACTTTCCGTTTTTTATTAATTTTATGAAGAAAGTTTCTGATTTAGATTAAAATCAACGTTTTGAAATGTGTAAGAATTTTTATTCTTTAAAATTATTTTTTGAACTTTTGAGAAAAAAGCACAAAACTTGCTTCAAGTTGTAAAGAAAAATGTAGGTGAATTTAGAAAATTTTGAGAAAGATCTTTTCTTTTAATTTTGATATTGATAATTAGTATTGATAAGTAATAATTAATAATTACTTTTAATAATTATTATTATTTTTTATTTTCAAATATAAATTTAAATATTGTAATAATTTCCGATTCAAAAATTCTATTAGTTAATTTGCTAATTTACAATTATTAATTGTTTTCATCAACTTTAATAAAATTTTTCGCAGGAATTCAATAATTTTCAATTAAATTTCACAAAAGAATATAATTATTTTCAAAAATTCGATAAAATATTTAATTATTTTTCGCAAAGATTTAATTACACTTTGAAAAATTTTGATAAAATTATTTTCAAAATAAAATTCTTTATGAGAAAAAAATTATAAATACTTTAGAAAAAGTTAATTCTTTTTCTGAATAATAAAATTTTTCGCAGAAATTTATTTTGGAAAATTTTTTGTAAAATTCTTTAGAAAAAATTAAATTAATTTTTTATTCAATTTGAATAAAATTCTTATCAAAATTTCAATTATTTTCATAATTAACAACAATTATTGTCGAAAGCAATGAATTCAATTTGTAATTTAGAAAAATCGTAATAAAATTTCTTGAAAAATTTAAATTATATTTTCGAAAATTTTGATATAATTCTTCACATAAAATTATTAATTAGTTGTAATAACTTTAAATTTTCTTATAATTAAAATTTATTTAAAATTTGTTATTAATATTACTATCAATACTTAATTATTAATTATTATATTAGTAAATTATTAGTTACGATTAATAATTATTAATGATTGTTAATAATTATTAATTAATTATTAATTATTAGGTACTTTTTTTTATTATTTTTTTATTATTATTTCTTTTTTTTATTATTAATAATAATTATTTATAAGAATATGATATCGAGTAAAAGAAAAGAATGAATTAAAAATAAACAATCAAAATGAATTTTACAATTGTGTATAGAATTGTGAGCAAAAAAAAATGATTAAAAAATGATAATTAGTTAATTAGTGAAAAATCAAATTATAGAAACAAATAATAAATAAAATGAAGGAAAACAAATGTATTTTTACGACTTTTAGAAATTTACTTTATTCCTTGTTTTTTTTATAGAAAAAGAATTATTAACAGGAAAAAAATCTTTTTTTTTGCAACGTTTCAGAAGAAAAAACAGATTTCTTTTCTCAATCGAAGGTGAAGTGAAAAATTATTTTTTTCGTGTCGTTGACGGATTAATTTGCACATTGAAAAAAGTTTCGTTCTGCGCTTCTAATTCCAAAAAGGAGGATTTGAAAAAGGAACTTCAGGTAAATATGCGAAAATTAATCAAATTTATTTCTATCCTTTCTTATAATTCTTATACAAATAGAAAGAATTTATTTTCGAATTTTTATTATCCATTGTTTTCGAAATTTTTATTATCTATTATTATTGTGATTTTTATTTTATCTATGATTTTCGGAATTTTTATTAGTTTTTATTTTTGGTCAAAAAAGAAAAATTTACAATTATTTTACTATTATTCTTTTTTCGAAAAGAAATATTTTGCAATTTATTGGAGAGTGGGGAAAAAATGGTAATTTTATCCAGAATCACCTCTTGCTCCTTTTTGACCCGGAAGTCCTGGGAGACCAGGAAATCCTGATTCTCCTTTTGCTCCAGGAAGACCAGAATTTCCGGGTTCGCCTTTTACTCCCGGAAGACCAGGAAATCCGGGTTCTCCTTTCCAAGGTGGTGGCGAAGGAATTCCTGGCGGGCAGTAGCATTGCAATTCGTGCTTTTTTTCTAAAAATGATATTATTAATTACACTTTTTTAAAAATATTAAATAGAATTTAGGAATTAAATGAAATGGAAACTTAAATAAAATAAAAAACGAAATTTAATTAAATTAAATTGAAATCGAAACTTTAAATTAAATTGAAATTGAAATCGAATTGAAATTTAAATTAAATAAAATTAAAATCGAAATTAAATTTTATTTAAATAAAATTTAAATTTAAATCAAAATCGAAATTGAATTTTATTTAAATTAAAAAATTGAAATTGAAATCGAAATTGATTTGTATTTAAATTAAATTGGAATCAAATCGAAATTTAAATTAAATAAAATTGATCTGGAAATTGAAATCGAAATTGAATTTTATTTAAATTAAAATAAAATTTAAATCGAAATTAAATTATATTTAAATTAAATTGATTTTTATTCAAATTTAATAAAAATCAAATCAAAATTAAATTTTACTTAAATTAAATTGAAATCAATATCGAAAATAAAATTAAATAAAATTAAATAAAATTGAAATCGAATAAATTGAATTTTATTTAAATAAAATTGCTTCCTAATAGAAAAAGTGTTACAGATTGTTTTTGCTAAAAATATTTCTTATTATCTTTAATAATTTTTATAAAATTTCTTTATTTGAAGATTTTCATTCATCTTTTTTTTGTTCTGTTTCTTACCCTTCCAAATATTGGTGCAAATTTCGCGAATTCGGTCATCATTATCAATCGCTGTCGTCAATTGTATCGTAATAAGAATTAGAATCAAGAATAGACAACATTTTCCACTATTTCTAAAAAAATATTTATTTATATTTTATTTATTTATTTATCATCGAAAAGAGAAGGTTTATAATTACAATTAAAAGGAAATGAATTTTGACAATAATTATAATGTAAATTTAATTAATTTTTTTTTTCATTTAAAATTAAATATTGACATTTTTAATTATTAATTGCCAACTTACCTGAAGTGCGACATCTTCTCGCAGCTTTCGAGTCTTCTATTTACAATATTACTGAGAACGAAATGATTATAATTATAACGCATTTCATTGACACGCCGATAACCTCGTAACTATTTGCAATTAATTTTTATCATTATTTCCCTATAAATTCATTTGAATTCAGAAATTCTCACCACTCTTAAAATATAAAAATAATATTTGAAATAAATTCCCTTCTTTCCTCTTAAATTCAAATATTCGAAAAAAGAAGAAAAAAAATTAAAAGGTTTTACCCTTCTATTCTATTTCAAAATAATTTTTAAAAGAAGAAAAATAATAAAATAAAATTCCTCAATGAAATATAAAACGAAATATTTAATAAAATTTAACAAAATTTTCAATTTTTTTAAAAATTGTTTTTGGGAATTCAACTAAAAAATTTTAATTCCTACATTAAAAAAAAAAATTTTTCAAAAGTTCTAAATTAAATTATTTAAAAATTCAAAAATTTTCTAGAAACTGTAAAAAAAAATTCTTCTCAAGAATTCAATTATTTCTATAAATAGCAAAATTCTTTAGATTTACTAAATTCTGAAAAATATTATTTTTAAAAAATATTCTTCACAAGAATTCAATTATTTTCAAAGGTAATAAAATTCTTCGCAGAAATTCAAATTATGTTTAAAATTTTTTTTAAATTCTCCTCAAACTTTCAATTATTTTTATAAATAATTAAATTGTTCTCCACAATTCAATTATTTTCAAAAATTTTAATAAAATTCGACGCGCAAACATTTAATTATTTTCGCATAAATAATAACATTCTTTGAAAGGATTCAATTACTTAAAATAGTAAAATTCTTTGCAGAAATTCAATTAGTATCAATACGTTTTAATAAAATTGAATTTATCAAAGTTTCAATTATAATTATGAACAGAAAAGATTATTTTAAAAAATTGAAAAAATTCTTTGTTTAATTCAATTATTTTCCAAATTTTTAATTAAAATTATTAAAAAAAAAAATTATTTAAAAAAAAAAAATTTTAATTTCATTTTTTCAAAAACATAATTTTTTTAGAATTTCAAAACTAAATTTTCCAAAAATCAATAATTACTGTTAAGGGAATTGGAACAATTATGACGTCACAGTTTGTGCAAAGCATGTGTTTTAAAACTGTGACGTTATAATAGTTCAAATGGCCTTAAACAAACATTAAAATTTAATATTTGGATAAATTCTTCTCCACTCAATAAATATTAAAAAACTTATTCTTATTTATTTTTTCCACATGAATTAAAATTCCAAATTATTTCAATGAAAAATATTTTTAAATTTATAACTATTTCTAAAAATAACAATTCTTCCAATATTTGTTTTTAATTTTTAAATAAAATCAATCGAAACTTTTATTAATTTTTATAGAAAAATAATATATATTAATAATTTTTGAAAATAAACATTCAAATATTTTTCTACTTTTATGCAGCGATTAAAATTTTCAAAGAATTTAATTTAAAAAAATTTTTATCTAATTATTTTTTTAAATTCCTTTTTTTTGAACTTCAAGTATTGAATTATTTTCTAAAATTTTAACTCAACTTTTTAGTAATTTATTTCACTGTTAAATAATTTAATTCTTGAAGAATAATAAAAAAAATGGTTAAATATATAATTTAGAATAGTTTCACAAACATTTCGAAAATAATTGAATTTTATAAGAGATGTGTTTATAATTCTTCTAAATAATTTTCATTTCAAAAGGTTTCAATTTACTATTCGAAAATTTTTATAATTTTTCTTCAAAGGAATTAGGAATTCAATTATTTTCATAAATAATAAAATGTTTCAGAGGAATTCAATTATTTTCGTAAATAATAATATGTTTCGGAGAAATTCAATTATTTTCAATACGATTTTAATAAAAATTCTCGAAAAAATACACAATTATTTTTAAAAATATTTTTTAAATTCAATTATTTTCAAGAGTTTTAATAAAAATTCAAAATTTATTTTCAACAATTTTGATGAAGAAATTTTTCGTAACAATTCAATTATTTTTTAAAAAAATTGTAAAATTCTTGGCAAGAATTCAATTATTTTTTTAAATAATCAACATTCTTCTGAGAAATTCAATTATTTTAAGATAAAATTTTAATTAAATTTCTAGAAAAAAATTCAATTATATATTCAAGTTTTTTTTTTGATAAAGTTTCTCTAACAGCGTTCAATTATTTTCAAAAATTGTAATAAAATTTTTCTAAACAATTTAATTGTTCTTAAAAGTTTTCAAAAAATATTCTTTGTAAATAATTTCAATTATTTTCAATTTTCAAAAATTTCAATTAAAATTATTTGCAAAAAATTACATATTATTTTTACGAAATTTAATTAAATTCTTGAAACAAAATGTTATTATTTATACAATCAATCAAAAAAACAGTATTTGACAAAAAATCTAATAAAATTGTTTAAAGGAATAAAATTTTGTATGAATAATTTTAATATAATTTAATAGGAAAATGGTTAATTACAATTAATAATAAACACGATTATATTTAAAAACTTAAAAATAATTTTTAAAATTCAATTATTTTCAAAAAAAAAATGTTTAAAATTAATTTAATTTTCCCTGGAATTCAATTAAAATTGTATTGAAATTTAAATGAAATCCCGATAAGAATTTTATTATTTATATAAAAATAATTGAATTTTCTAAAAAGATTTTTATTATTTATAAATTTTATTTATAAATTTTTTTTATTTATTTTTATTTTGATTTAAAAAAGTGTGTGTTTTACAATTTAATATAACTTTACTGAAATTTTAATTGATTATTGCTTCGTTTTAACAATTAACAGTTAAAGTTTTAATGGATTTAAGATTAAAAGTCATAAAAAATTTGATAAAAAAAACTTTTTTTTTTTTTTTTTTTTTTTTTTTAAATTTGTGTATTAAAAAAATTACTATAAAAAAATTTGGAATTATATATAAAAGTCCTGTGTTAGATTCTCATATTTTCAAACAGTATTAGGATTTTTTTTTAAAAAGTCACTTTCGTCCAACTTTTTAATATGGAGTATTAAAAATTTTTCTTTAGATATTTATTTTCTTTAGGTGATAGAGATTACATTGGGTGTGATTCTCCCTTTTCACCCTTATCTCCATTAGGACCAGGAGGACCCATTTCTCCTCTTTCACCATTATCTCCTAGATAATGATTGTATCCCCTTTCTCCCTTTTGACCCGGAGGTCCATAATGACCATCATTTCCTGTTTCTCCTTTTTGTCCCATAGGACCAGGATATCCGGCTTCTCCTCTCATTCCTGGAGGACCATTAAGTCCAGATTCTCCTTTAAATCCTTTAGGACCAGGAGGTCCAGAAAGTCCACGTTCTCCTTTCATCATTGTTGCTGGATGTGGGCAGCGGCATTGCAATCCAGGTCTCATTTCTGTAAATTATTTTTAATGATTCTTTATTAAGAAACCGAATTTGACACAAATTAAATGTTAAATTTAATAAACAAAATTAAATTCTAAAAAATTTAATTTCAAAATTAAATTCTGTTCAAAATTAAATTTTACGTCCGCTTTTTTTTTGTGTCAGATTAATTTTACGAGGCCTTTAAACGAATTTAAATTAATTTAATCCTCACAAAATTGATCTGACAAAATTAAATTCTATTCACAATTTAATTTTGTTTTTCGACAAAAATTTTTTATTTGTAATTTACAATTATTTTCTTTTCTTCTTTGTTACTTACCCCTCAAAACATTGGCACAAATTCCTCGCATTCGGGCTTCATCATCAACTGCCGCTGTTAATTGTATCGCGACAAAGGTGAGAATCACGAATAAGAAATAATTTCCGATTCTGAAAATAGAAATATATTGATTAAAATTTGTACATATTTTTAAGTCAATTATCAATATAAATTCCTTAATTATTAAATGAAAATAAATTTCATAATTATACGATTCGCGACACTATTTTTTTTTTATGTTTTTTTTTTCTTTTGAGAATTTCTACTACGTTAAATTCGCTAATACAAGAAATCAAAAAACTATTCGTAAAAATTATAATCAAATTCTTTAAAACGATGCAATTATTTTCAAAAAATATTCCAAATTCTATTTTCAATATCTAGTATTTTCATAAAATTTCGCAAAAGAATTCAATTAAAGAAAAATTGATAACAATTCATTGAAAATTAAATTATTTTCATTTATAATAAAACTTTCACAGTAATGCAATTAATTAATAATACAATTTTCAAACAAATTTTGAAAAAATCAATTATTTAACAAAATTTTTATACAATTCTTCACAATAATGAATATAATTCAATTACTTTCACTAGTAATAACATTTTTAATGGAAATTCAATATTTCAAAAATTTACTATATTTCGAAAAAATTTATTACTTAAAACAATGTTTATAAAATTTTTTTTAAGAATTCAATTATTTTCAAAAATAACAAAAATTTTTCACAAGAATTCAATTCTTTTTAAAGATATTAATAAAATTTTTCGCTAGAATTTGCAATTATTTTCATAAATAATAAAATTCATCGCAGGATTTCAATTATTTTTAATACAATTTTACAAAATTTGCTTAAAAAATTTTAATTATTCTTCAAAATTTAATTTCAATTCCTCGAAAAAATTAAATATTTTAAATAATGTTTTTTTTTTTAATTCTTGGGAAAAATTCAATTATTTACAAAAATATTAGAATTTTTTAAAGGAATTCAATTAATTTAGTATAGCATTTTTGAATAAATCAATTATTTAAGAAAATTTTTATATAATTGTTCACATCTAATTTAATTACTTTCACTAATAATAACAATTTTCATGGAAATTAAAATAAAAAAAAAATTTTTGATAAAATTCTAAGCAAAAATTCAAATATATTTTCATAAATAATAAAACTCATCGAAGACTTTCAATTATTTTTAATGCAATTTTACAGGAATTGCTCAAAAATAAATTAAAATTAATAAATAAAAATAATAAAATAATAAATAATTTAATTCTTGAAAATTAAATTTCAATTCCTCAAAAAAATTAATTATTTAAAAAAATGTTGTTTTGTAAATTCTTTAAAACAATTCAATTATTTACAAAAATATTAGAATTTTTCACAAGAATTCAATTATTTTAAATGCAATTTTAATTAATTTTTTTTAAAAATAATTTCATTATTCTTTTAAATTTTAATTAAATTCTTTTTAAGAATTTAATTATTGGCATAAATAATTCTTCTAAAGAATTCAATTATTAAAGATAAATAACAAATTATTCCCGAAAAATATTCAATTATTTTGAGGCATTTTAATAAAATTCTTTGCAAAATTCAATTATTTTCATAAATATTTAGTATTCATTTATAATTCATTTATCATTAATAAATATAATGTGATGAATTTTCATAAAAAATTAATCACAGAAATTCAATTATTTTTAATAGTAATAAATTTCTTCTTGGAAATTCAATTATTTTAATTAAAATTCTAATCAAATCGTTCGCTAGAATGCAATTATTTTCATAAATAATAAAATGCTGTTTAGGAATTCAATTATTTTCAAAAAAAAAAAAAATTTAATAAAATGCCACACAAACATTTAATTATTGTCAAAAATTTTAATAGAATTCTTTGTAAAATTTAATTATTTTTAAAAACATTTCGCAATTCAATGATTTGTAAAATCTACTATTTTCATAAAATTTCCAAACAGAATTCAATTATTTAAAAAATTTTTTGTAAAAAAATCTTCGTAAAAATTGAATTTTTTTTTATGACGAATAATAAAAATTTCTCAGGAATACAATTATTTAATTTAAAATTTACATACAATTAGTCGAAAGAAATCAATTATTTAAAAATTTAAATGAAATTCTTTGCAAGGGGACGCATGATTATTCCCCAAATGTCATTTTACCGAACTGCTCTTTTGCGAATAGTCATTTTTGCGAAAAGCCAATTTTTCGAAAAGTCATTTTTACGAATTGCCATTTTTGCGAATTGTCATTTTTGCGAATCGACATTTTTACGAATTGTCAATTTTCCAAAAAGTCATTTTTGCAAATCGCCATTTTTACGAATTGTCAATTTTTCGAAAAGTCATTTTTGCGAATTGTAATTTTTGCGAAAATTCCTATAGTGAATCTTTATATGCATACAAGTTTACTATAGGAATTTTCGCAAAAATGACAATTCGCAAAAATGACAATTCGTAATAATGGCAATTCGTAAAAATAGCGATTCGCAAAAGTGACAATTCGCAAAAATGACATTTCTCAAAAATGACAATTCGCAAAAATGACTTTTCGAAAAAATGACAATTCGAAAAATTGGCTTTCCGCAAAAATGGCTTTTCGCAAAAATGAGTATTCGCAAAAGTGCAGTTCGGTAAAATGACATTTCGGAAAAATGACATTTGGGGAATAATCATGCGCCCCTTTGCAAGAATTAAATAATTTTTATAAATATTTAAATTCTTTAATGAATAATAAAATTCGTTGTAGGAAATTAATTTGTTAGCAGGATAAGAAAGGAGCAAATATTTTTGATAAAAATTAGAAAAAGTCAGGAAAATAAAATATAGAACTTTTTTGATACTTTTCTTTGTTTGAAAGCTACTTTTTGCTACATTTTTAAAATTAATTATCGAGTGCGAAGTCTGTATATAATTATAAAGAATAAAGAGTTATTTTTTTAAAATTAAATTTAAGATAACAGTATAAATTTAATTATTTAATTTTTCCTTGAGAAACTTACTTGAAGTCCATCGTGTTGTCAGTCTCCTGGTTTTGGAACTTTAGAAATTATTAATAAAAATACTAAGACCTGAAGGTACTTTTATACCTCCGGAATTTTGGTCAATCGAATCGACTGAATAAATTTTCACTGCCAGATCGCTGAATTTGATTGGTTTATTCAGATGGTATTTTATTTCCACCTAAATTCAAAGTGTCAATAGACTGATTATCGAAGCCAATGAAATTTAGCCACAAAACCGAGAAAATTCATGCAGTCAATTGCAGTCACTTGTTGCATCAGCAGAACACTGATCACAGATGAGGCCCACATTTTCTGAATAAATTTTCACGATCGTGAGGCTAAATTTCATTGGCGTTGATTGAAACATTCTATTGACACTTTCAATATTTAAAGGGAAATTAAATAGTAGTCGAAACTTGATCGAAAACCGAACCTATAAAAGCACCTTCAGGCCTAAGTAATTTTACTAACAATTTCTAAATTGCCAAAACCAGGCGACTGACAACATGACGGACCTCAAGTAAGCTTCTCAATTCAAAATGTCAATAATTAAATTTATCATTTAATCGTAATTTAATTTTTTAAAAACAATAAAATTTATTATTCTTATGCAAATTACAAAATTTCTTATTTTCAAATATAAATTTTTAAAATAAGTTCATTATCAAAATTCAAGAAATTCACTTATTGAGTACAAAATTAATTATTACTGTTCATATTTTCCAGAATTTTAATGAATCCTTCTAAACAATTCAATTATTATTTTAAATAGGAAAATCTTTACAAAAATTCAATTATTTTCAAAACAATTTTAATTAAATTCCTCGGAAGAATTCAATTTTTTTCTAAAATTTTATCACATTTCAAAAAAATTCCATTTTTTTTAAAATTTTAATAAATCCTTCGAAAAAATTCAATTTTTTTTTATAAATAGTAAAATTTTTTGCAGGAATTCAATTATTTTTATAAATAGTAAAATCCTTTGCAGAAATTCAATTTTTTTCAAAATAATCTGAATAGAATTCCTCGAAAGAATTAAAATTTTTAAATATTAATAATAAAATTCATTTATTTTCTCAAATTTTAATAAATTTTTCGGAACAATTCAATTATTATTATTATAACCTTTTAAAATTCAATAACGGAGTAGATTATTATATTCTACAATAAATAAAATTTTTGTCTAAATCAATTATTTTTAATAATTTTTTGAAAAAGTTCTTCTTGGAGAATTTTTAAATCCATATTTTTTGTTTGTAATTCAATTTTACGTGAAATTTCCATTATTCGAAAATTCTTCAATTAAATATACATTAGAAGATAAAAACTTTTAGAATAATTTTTAAAAATTTCCATTAAGCTTTTTCCAAAAAAGTATAGTTTGATAGAATTTTTAATTAAAAGTATAAAAAATTTAAACTCAAAAATCAATTTTTATTAGAAAATTCTACGAGAATTCAATTATTTAAATACAAACATAGATAATTTTTTTAAATATTTTTTAAAATTTAATTCTTAAACATAATTTTATCAACAAATTTTTAAATAATTGAATTCTTTCGACGAATTTTAATAAATTTTAATAAATTTTTCAAGAATAATTGAATTTCTGAGATGAGTCTTATTATTTATGAAAATTATTAAATTATTTCAATTCTTATGAAGAATTTTTATTATTATTTGAAACTAATTGAATTCCTATGAAGAATTTTATTAAATTTTAAAAATAATTGAATTAAATTGAAATAATTTGAGAAATTATTAAAGTTTTGAGTATAATTTTAGTTAAAAATATTCTAGAAAATTAAATAAGAATCTTTCTAAAAATCAGGGAAAAAAATTCGAATTTTAATAAATTTTTTAAAAATAATTACTTGTTTCGTGAAATTTGATTAAAATTGTATTAAAAATAATTGAAATTCTGTAATGAGTTTTATTATTTATGAAAATAATTGAATTATTGCGAAGAATTTTTTTTAAAAAATTTCAAACAAATGATTTTTTTCGAAAAAATTTATGCAAATTCTATTTTTAATAATTGAATTTCTGTGAAATTTTCATTATTTTAGAAAATACTTGAATATTCGCGTTGAACTTTTATTAAAATAGTTTTCAAAAATTGGATTCTTTTTTGAAATTGAGAAAATTTTTTGAAAATAATTGAATTTTATTAATTTTGAAACTAATTGAATTCTTGTGATGACTATATATTGTTATTTGTGAAAATTATTAAAATTTTATAAAAAATTTCTGAATATACTTGAATTTCGGCGAAGAATTTTGCTATTTATAAAAATAAAGATAATTAAAATGTTGACCAAAATTTATTAAATTTTTTTATAAATATTTGAATTTCTTGAAAGAATTTTCTTATAAATTCTATTCATTTAATTGTTCCAGTGGCGAACGCCACTCGTAAGAAGTGTTCAAAATTTTTGTCTGTATTTGAACCTTGAAAAACTATTTAAATTCTAGTGGAAATAATTTTTTCTTGTCACATTCGTATTAATTGATATCAAATAATAAAGAGCAAAGGAAAATTAAAGAAACATATTTCTTTTCAGAAACGGAAAATATTTCTTATTCGCGATTCTCGCCTTTGTCGCGATACAATTAACCACAGCAGCTGTTGATGAAGAGCGTCTTCGAGAAATTGCTAACGATATTTGGAGAGGTAAGTAACAAAGAAGAAAAGAAAATAATTGTAAATTGCAAATGAAAAATTTTTGTTGAAAAACAAAGTCAAATTGGGAATAGAATTTAATTTCGTTTATTAAATTTGCCATTTAATTTTTGTGAAATTCGGTATTTAAGAAAGAATAATTACTAAAAATATGAATTTGCAGAAAATAAGCATGATTTGGAACTATGCCGCTGCAAATCTTTCTCTTTTCTGAGAGGAGAACCTGGATCTCCTGGTCCTCGAGGATTGAAAGGAGAATCTGGACTCAATGGTCTTCCAGGAATGAAAGGAGAAGCCGGAAATCCTGGTTTGGTGGGACCAAAAGGACAAGCAGGAGATGATGGTCTTAATGGACGTCCGGGTCAAAAGGGAGAAAAGGGGTACCTTGGATATCCTGGTGCAAGTGGATATAAGGGTAGTAAAGGTTACGCAGGACTTCCTGGTCTTCCTGGTCAAAAAGGAGAACAAGGTTAATCTGTTATGCCACGTTCGGCATCGTCTTAAAGGACAAAAAAAGATGAATCTGCATAAAAAAAACATCGTTTTTCATTTATTCTCTATTTTATTATTTTATTTATACAAGCATGTACCTCACAAGAAGTATTAAATTAATTAATGTAAATTTTACAATACAATTCATTCTCACTGACAACATTATTAGAAGGGTTAAGAACTAACGATGAATTATTTTGAATAGCAAGTAAATTAATTCTTTCCTTCAGAGTGATCTTTTCTGATCTGTTATGAAACACATTTGCAGTATTTAATTTGCATAAAAAGTAGACAAATCTATTATTTTCAGAAAATCTTCGTCACTATATTGCCCTAATAATCGAAGAATATTATTGTCTTGCATTCTAAAGATGATTTCGTATATTTCTCCTGTTTTCGGATTGTACAAATTGTAGTAGTTGTCGTTGCTACTTTGATTATCAGTTTGCCTATTCAAGTAATTGTCATCGATAAGAAGCGACAATTCGGTCGCTTGGTCGGGACAATTGGAATTACAATCAAAAGCACAAGATTGGAGATCAGTCAGCGTAGGCAGAGGGTTATGAATGACGGGAACTTTGTATTGAATTTTTATGACAGTTCTAAATTCAGCAATTCTTCCAAATGAAGATATACATAAAGGTCCGAAATAATTTGAACCTCCGGGATAAAGATATCTAAAGATCAGTCCTCTTTGATTATGATTTAGTGCTGCATGCTTGTCTAATAAATAAATTGCAAATTTCATTGTTGAAAGAAGATTTTTTACATTGGGGTAGCTGGAAAAGCTTGAATCGAGTGCTTGCTTAATTCCTCGAAGCATTTTACTGCAGGAATTAGAGATTTGTAATGACAGTTCGAAACCAGGTTTTAATATTTGTCTGGAATCAATAATGAATTTTCTTCTATCAATAGAAATAAAAAAATTCGACATTGTTTTTATGTATATGTCATTCACATGGAATAATATCGTTAGATAATTAATTTTTGATTTTGAGATGTTTCCTAAACTTTGTTGTCCTGTTTCCGTATATTTACTTTTCCACACAGTAGACAAGATGTTATCCCCAACTTCAGGAATTAGAAGAAGATTTTTAAAAACTGGTTTACAAATTACACTTTCTGTATAATTATCGGATTTTATACCCTCAAGACATGTATAAAATGGAGGAAAAGATTTTGCTTTTTCTAGTGCTTCTTCTTTAGAAATAATATTTTCAGAATGCAATAAAATATTTGCTTGAATAATACCTACAACTTTAGCAATAACTTTCATGAACATTGTATAATTATGATAAGATTGATGAAGATCTTTATAATAATCTTGATATCCCTCTCCAGAATACACATCATTCCATGCTGCAGAATTTAAAATCTGTTTATTGCTTATATTTGAAAGTAAAGTCAAAGTATTATTATCCTGTCGTAGAACATAGAAATCCAGTTTCCCATTTCTAATTATTGAAAATACAATAAAGATTCCACCGTATTTTCCACTTGTTCCAGGAATACATTCTCTACAATTTACTGATTGATGGAAAATATATAATAATTTCAAAGTTACATTTAATTTAATCTTTTCCTTTATGTTACCATCTACTAATAGCTGTTCTAAAGAATTGAATTCAACTTCTCTAAGAAAGTCTAACATTTCGTTCGAGAACGTATTACGATACTCTGCGACATCAGTGTTTTCAAATGTTGTAAAAACTTTATTCAATTTGTCAAACAGACTGTTCTTAAGTTCATTGAAAAGAATTCTTCCGTGGCAAGCGTTAAGGAAATTTATAAACCTAATTATTATCATTTGCAAAAATTTTTCATTCCTATACAATATTGCCCCTGCGTCTAATTTTCCCTTTTGTCCAAAGGCGTAAAAAAATAAAGCCGGTGTTGCAAATAATTTCACAGCTACTTGAAACGTTTCATTACTCTCAATCTGAAATTCAATTAATTTCGCTAATAGAATATAATTCTCAAAAATTAAATTTCTTGTATCACCTTGAATGGATCGAATAATTTTTAAACCAATCATTGCATATATGTAATTAATATTCATTATTTTCATATTTTGTTCCGGTTCTGGAAACATTGACCAAACATGTTCATTGAACACTTTTTTAATTGTCAAATTTGTGAGTTGATGATTAACGAGTGATGATGAACAATAATCGTAAGTGGTGTAATTTTGCGATAATTGATAAAATACGTTTTTCTTAAGTGCCGAATAGGTAATGTTTTCTGTTTGATTAATTATGGAAGCCAAATAACCGTCAATGTTTCCGTAGTGTGAGAACAAAGCACTACTAATGATGTACTGAAATGTGTCATCCACATATTTCATGTCAAGTGTTTCATTGTCACTTCCGCCGTAGAGATCACTTCCGTTTAATACTTTTCCAATGAGTTGAAGTTTTGCCACATATTCATTCTCCGAATTATTAATGTATTCGAAAAGGGTGTTCAATACAGAAACAGAATCGTTTTGATTTTCCTTGGTAATCAAGTTCAGATTGTAAAAGATTTTACCAAAACTGGTAATGTAGTGGCATACAGAAAGGAACTGAAAATTTGTCATCTGATAAGTCGAATAAGGTAAGCTATCCATTGTGACACAATTTTATTAATATTTTATTTTCCTCAGAATATTATGTTCCAGTATATTGTTTTAAAACTTGTTATTCTTAGAAATTGTCCAACTGAAAATATTGAATTGCTTGTTATATAATTTTATTCTTACTTAAAATCTCAAATACTTGTCAGTATATTTATACTTCCATCATGATGACGTGTCAATAGGTTAAAAGATTGCGTGCAATATTTTTAGTTCATTTCGTTTTTCTAGAATCTGCGTTCATCGTTAATAAGTTCAAAATTCTAACTCTTTTTCCCGACTAATTAAAAATGGAATTAAAATAAATGATTAAATTTACCTTGTTAGTTGTAAGTGACACAGTTAACTTCACAATGCGACGAACCACTACTAAATTAAGAAACAAAGAAATGTGTGTTTATTGCATTTCATAATATAGTATTTTCGCATTTACCAGAAGAAATGTTTTTCTGATATTTTTTATTGTCAGTGGTTGTAAAAATTTATCTTCTACTGCTTTTGTTTGTCAAGGATTTTGTTATTTGCAGAAATGGTTTAACTGCGCTTTAAAATATTCGCTTCTATTATATCTTCAGCAGCAATTTCCCCAAGTATTAATTTTGAAATCAACTTAAAATCAACATCTTATAATACAACAATTTTAAAAAGCATAAATATTTATTATTTTAATTATTCAAAATAAATGACATGTTATAATATTTTGATATATAATTATAATATTATACCTTAGAACGAAACCAACATCAATCGAGAATTTAATTGGGAGCAAAATTTAAAAGTAATAGTTACTTACCTCTTAAAATTATTCTTAGAGTCGTAGACCCAACAAGCGATACATCCTTCAGTGTGAGGTCGAGGAAATGACTTTGTCTAGCAGAAACAGAGAATGCAGTAGATTTCCCTCAAATGGTTTTCGGACCAGTCAAAGTGAAAGGTCCGGAGTCTAGGTGTCGATGTAAATTAGATGAAACACCCCTTATAGACGGAGAGCTAGCTACATAAAAATGCATGTTATAAGGTACATGAAAAATTAATATTTAGATAGGTTCCATTTGAGTCCCTAAGTACCGAATGCGAAGTCTGCCTGCGCGTTCTGGAAGATTAAGCCCGCGAATTGACGGTCGAAAATGATAAATTTGATAAGGAAAACATGTGATAAAGGTCATGGATAAAAGTTATAAAATTTAAAAGTATTTATCACCAGTAAGCTTATAAAATTTTGGCAGACAATTTTTTGGACGACAAAGTATTGGCAGACAGTGTCAAAGTTGCGTAATCCGTAGTGAAAAAAAGATCATAAGAGTCATGGCTAAAAATTAATGGAAATAGTTAATGAACTCTTATGGAAGCTATATGTCAAGTGGCAGACAAAAATTCGGATGATAACATCGAGGCAGACAACGATAAAAAGCGCGGTTCCCATGCGATTTCGCTGATTTCGCGCTATTTGCACTAAATAGTTAATTTTTGAAAAATGTGAAATTTTTTTGGGCTACATTAATTTTTAAACATAATTTAATGATTTTATAAACTTTTGAATGAATATGATTTATTTTAAATTAAATTTTTTATAAAAATAAAAAAAATAAAAATTGAAAATGTGATTTTTGTATAGAATTATTAATTTTTTTAATAAATAGATAATAGATTGAAACTTCTGAGAAAAATGTATCCTAATTTAAAAAAAGAAAGAGCAAAATCGGTCAGTTGGTTTAAAAGTTAGAGCAACTTTTCAGAATTTGAAAAGTTGGTATCAATTCTGGCGTGAGCGATTGCTGCCGCGTGTCGCTGGATTCCCCCACTCTGCCCACCTAAGGAAGGTGAAATCTCGCACTCACTTTTACCTCTATTTTAAACAACTAAATAGTGCAGTATGGATTCCATAATTTTTTTGGTAATAGTGTTGTTAAGAATCTTTATATTTGTATAAAAAAATTGTAAAATGTTAATAAATAAAATGTCACGATTAGAAATATTTAAAAAAAATTATTTCCCCCCCCCTTGGAGTTAGGTGCAATTTTTTTCTTTTAAAATTTCAAAAAAATATGTTTAATTAAATTACTTTTTTTCCCGATATTATGAAACAAAAATTGGCTGAGATACGCTTAATTGTTTATAGTGGGAAATATTACCTCTTTTCTGCAACTATTTTTATGCAAATAAACAAGAAAAATCATTTAGTGTGTATATGTAAAGGATAGATCTCATCTTCGCAAGTGAAACGATATTTTGAAAAATGTGATTTTTTGAGTTTCCTTCATTTTTCATACATAAAAAGAAACATTGTTTTTAGTAAACAAATGGATTTATTTAAAAACTATTTATCCCATTGGGCTCAAATTTGATACACTCTTTAAAGGTATCAAGGGCAATACTTTCTGTCAGTTTAAAAGTCATCTCATTAAAATTAAACAAATTATTAAACAATTAAGAAATTGCAATTTTTATCTGTTTAAATTAATTTTCTCATGAACAAATAATTGAAAATTTTTTGCGACCTATCATTTTATATGTCTTTTTAAGCTCTATCTCATTAAAATTAAACAAATTATTAAACAATTAAGAAATACAGTTAATAGTGATTTTGAGAATATAAGGAGTGTCATATGTGATTTATTAATTTCACTCTACAATAGTGTTTTGTATTCGGTAAATTTATACATACAATGTTAACTTTTTGAAGTAAATTTACTAAATTAATTTACTTAATTATTAAATACTAATTTTTATTTCGCCAAATAATATTTACCTCAATGTTTATAATAAATTTTCTACGAAAGACTGTAATAATAATATAATTATGCACACTTAACCTTAAATTATAAGTTTTATATTATACTTTCCTGATAATATGAACTTATCAATTAATAGCATAAATTTTTTAATTGTATAAAATAGAATCTTATGCTTCATTATTTACATCTGATTCAATTTCCTCCACATCTTCTTCACTGTCGCACTCGATATCATCCTCAGATTCGATTTCATTTATGTCAGCTGAAAAATGAAAACAATTAATAACTCATACTTTTAATAAATAAAATTGTCAGTGTATGTATAAAGATTTGTACCTTCAGACTCTTCTTGATTGGATTGATTAATTTAAACAGATAAAAATTGCAATTTCTTAATTGTTTAATAATTTGTTTAATTTTAATGAGATGACTTTTAAACTGACAGAAAGTATTGCCCTTGATACCTTTAAAGAGTGTATCAAATTTGAGCCCAATGGGATAAATAGTTTTTAAATAAATCCATTTGTTTACTAAAAACAATGTTTCTTTTTATGTATGAAAAATGAAGGAAACTCAAAAAATCACATTTTTCAAAATATCGTTTCACTTGCGAAGATGAGATCTATCCTTTACATATACACACTAAATGATTTTTCTTGTTTATTTGCATAAAAATAGTTGCAGAAAAGAGGTAATATTTCCCACTATAAACAATTAAGCGTATCTCAGCCAATTTTTGTTTCATAATATCGGGAAAAAAAGTAATTTAATTAAACATATTTTTTTGAAATTTTAAAAGAAAAAAATTGCACCTAACTCCAAGGGGGGGGGAAATAATTTTTTTTAAATATTTCTAATCGTGACATTTTATTTATTAACATTTTACAATTTTTTTTATACAAATATAAAGATTCTTAACAACACTATTACCAAAAAAATTATGGAATCCATACTGCACTATTTAGTTGTTTAAAATAGAGGTAAAAGTGAGTGCGAGATTTCACCTTCCTTAGGTGGGCAGAGTGGGGGAATCCAGCGACACGCGGCAGCAATCGCTCACGCCAGAATTGATACCAACTTTTCAAATTCTGAAAAGTTGCTCTAACTTTTAAACCAACTGACCGATTTTGCTCTTTCTTTTTTTAAATTAGGATACATTTTTCTCAGAAGTTTCAATCTATTATCTATTTATTAAAAAAATTAATAATTCTATACAAAAATCACATTTTCAATTTTTATTTTTTTTATTTTTATAAAAAATTTAATTTAAAATAAATCATATTCATTCAAAAGTTTATAAAATCATTAAATTATGTTTAAAAATTAATGTAGCCCAAAAAAATTTCACATTTTTCAAAAATTAACTATTTAGTGCAAATAGCGCGAAATCAGCGAAATCGCATGGGAACCGCGCTTTTTATCGTTGTCTGCCTCGATGTTATCATCCGAATTTTTGTCTGCCACTTGACATATAGCTTCCATAAGAGTTCATTAACTATTTCCATTAATTTTTAGCCATGACTCTTATGATCTTTTTTTCACTACGGATTACGCAACTTTGACACTGTCTGCCAATACTTTGTCGTCCAAAAAATTGTCTGCCAAAATTTTATAAGCTTACTGGTGATAAATACTTTTAAATTTTATAACTTTTATCCATGACCTTTATCACATGTTTTCCTTATCAAATTTATCATTTTCGACCGTCAATTCGCGGGCTTAATCTTCCAGAACGCGCAGGCAGACTTCGCATTCGGTACTCAGGGACTCAAATGGAACCTATCTAAATATTAATTTTTCATGTACCTTATAACATGCATTTTTATGTAGCCAGCTCTTAGACTATTAGCCTAGGAGTAACCGAATTATTGATTTGACGTTCATGTGGAGGTAATGCAGTCCTTAGAAAAATAGAAATGTATTTGGTACTTGAAGAGATTTTCCGAACTAAAGTCGAAGAACAAATCCCCGACAGTACACAACTAGTTAACTTGGTCACGGTTGTTGGACTGTGACAAAGTTAATTCGATGGCGACTTCTAGACTAAATATCTCAAAGGCGTTTCCTCGACTAACTAATTTGGCAAGGGTGGCACCTTTTATAGGTTCCTTTTGCAAAGGTAACTACGTCATACCACCCAATTTTATCACCTTTGGGTCACTGTGATAAAAATTGTATTACATCTAAGTGAAGACCCAATAGGAGAATGACAAAATATAGATGACCTTATATTTCGTATCTTCTAATAATAAAGAAAATTTCCCTTTCTTCTCAATTATTTATTTTTATTTATTCAAGCATATTAATATTAGCATTAATACAAATAATATAAATTTTGCAATTTATAAACATGATTATTTTAAGTTTCAAATTATATGATTCTTTAATTAGAAGCAGAATGTAGAGAAGTAATAATTACTTAGCAACTATTAATACGCAGTGAAGTTAAAGAAAGAAATTAAAACTGAACAGAAACAAAAACACACTTTTAGACAAATCTTACTTTTAAGTTTAAAATATTAAAGTTAGTAAGTTACAATCTTTTCCCCAAAATAAAATATTTTTGAAAACCATTTCATTCTAAAAGCAAACAATTATTGTGGACATTGGGATATGGAATGTGTTTAGAAGTCCTTAGGACATCTATGTCCTTTCGAGAGGCACTCAAATGACATAATAAGCCAGAAGGATGTCTTTAGGATACAAGGCA